CTTGCTTCCTTGCTTCCTTGCTTCCTTGCTTCCTTGCTTCCTTGCTTCCTTGCTTCCTTGCTTCCTTGCTTCCTTCCTTCCTTCCTTCCTTCCTTGCTTGCTTGCTTGCTTGCTTGCTTGCTTGCTTGCGTGGAGTGCATGGCTCAATAAAGTGCACTTTCGAGGGGGTGGCGCGGCCGCCATCTATTCAAAAAACGAACCGACTGATGGTGGCCACGGCCAAGGCTGCTGGATGTGAAGCAAGATTGCCCCATCCGAATATCCTGACTGTTCCAAGCCTATCATCCAGCCACAGTTTCAGGAATTTGTCAATGAGCAAGACAGTCTGCCCCCTTTGCCTTTCTGGACAAAGGGATGAGAAATAATCACAGTCGGCTCCCGGAAACTATGAAGTCTTCCTACGGACGATACACCGACTGGTCCGCCTTGAAGCTTTGTCAGGTGCGGTGGCATAGTTGGCACCACCAAGGGCTTCCCATGGATTTGGGTGCCTAGAGCAACAAAGGGAAATGATTCCGATATAAAAGAGGTCTCACTTCGCTATGTCACGGTTTGTCTCAAAATGATGTTGCACCCCCCGAGCTAATTCACTGATTTCATCCACTTCCCTTCTTAGATGTTACTTGAGGTCAGTCTAGAGTCTTTGCTTGGACTTTTTAGCGTCCCAATTTTTGAGAAATGAATCTGGTCAAGACTCTTAGTCAAGACTAGATACCTCTGAAGGAGTCAGGAAGAAATTAGTCCCAATATGTCCCAATCCAACATAGTAACATACTCCATGATGTTCCAATATTGCTGCCCCAAAAGGTCGGAATGCGGGCTTCCAAAATATAGGAACGCGAGATAAAGACCAAACGAGTGCCTTTTCGGAATGCTCTTCGAGCCTTGCAGGTAGTTCACTGCAGTTCAGCGGTTGACTCACCAGTGACCCATCATGGTGCATCATGGCTCTTTTTTGGGCTTCGAGTCGCTAATCCAACCGCGCTCTGGACCGTGGCCATGAATCTTCCGATACTTCAAGCGGCTACCCTTCCGCTGCTCCTCCTTGCACATGGCGCACACGTGTGCGCCGTTCCAGCGACGGGTGAAGCCAAAGACACCCTCCAGTTGAAGTGAAGAACTCCCCATGTCACGACTGTTCTTTGACAATCTTCTAAAATCTTGGGACAGTATTTTGGAAGATATAGTATGGGGCAATGCTGCTAAACATGGTTTTGGGATGTGTTGGGTGTTTCTTCCATTTGATCTGGACTCCTGCTATTTGCAAACCCCAAATCGATTGGAAGAACTCCTATACTTTTATTCCCGGAGTTTCTTCCAAAATACTGGCCTGCACTATAAGTACAGTACAGTCGAGAGCTTGTCACTGAATTAAGCAAACTGCCACGGGTGAGTTGTCGGAATTGCCACAAGAAATGCGGATTGACAGATTCTTGGCATTAACTCGGATTCAGGTCGCCCATCGCGGCCACACTATATAGAGCTCTCTGCTGGACGATCGTCGTCTGAAGTCTGAACACAGCGCAGAATTGGACGTCGGAGAACATTCCAATTGGACGTCGTATGATGGGTTTGGGGTTTGCAAAGTTCCTCACCTCCTATGATCCACCGGACCGTGGAACCAAATTAGATCTATACCGGATCTCTGTATTTCTCTTGGATCCCAGCATTTGGGATTTGATTAAAGCTCCGGGGACACCAATTCTGCGAAGTCTTGTCACTTCATGCGCAAGTAGAAACACGGCATCTTGACAACGACGCTTGCTGTCATTTGATATCATGGCCATAAGAGTATGTTGAAACAAATGAGGTCACCATCATTGTTATATAAGTTATGCTACGTGCACCTAGCTTTTGCAGGTCGTCTTACGCGAGTCACTCCAGTGTGGTGCATACGACAACGAGATCTCCTGCAAAAGGGCACCATATTCCAAGCGTTCCTCCAATGCCAAAGAAGACCTTAGAAGGGCCGTCTTGCCCACATGTTGGTGCTTCGCAAGAAGGGCCTCCTAAGAGGGACGTCTCTAAAGGCCTCAGTCTTTCGTGTGATGATGGAGACCTTGGCCCATAGGAATTGCTTTTGTAAAAGGACCCTACCCTCGACGCCAAAGGCATAGGACCAAGTTGATACCGCACTGACAATTTCTGTCCAATTCAGAGATCAAAAGAGTAACTATGATTATGATCTGTAGCATTTAGGTTGCACCAAAGGACTCACTTGAATCAAACAAACCTGGGTAATCTGAGTGTGTGGCAATTCTTCCGCTTCTCTTACAATGATCCCGCCCTTCTCTGCACCACCGATCACAATCCATGTCCTGGGCCAACCAGAGCGAATTTCGGTGGATCCACGGATCAAGTGCCACAACGCAGGAACACAAGGACCAAGCACGGCATGGGGTATGGGGCACATGGCCAAGCCCCAAGGAATGGTGGGAGAAGAGGGAGAAAGTCCTTCCCCGGACCTTCCCAAGATGGACACCAAGAAGCTCCCATCATGCATTTGCTGCATCCCGAAACAGTCGCACCAAAGAATTCCAGAAGCTCACTCAGCCGTGTTGGACGAGCAAGCGTTCCCTTTGGCGGCCTATGTTTGCCTCCAGATTGCAAAGGGCCCAACAACTAGGACTGAGTGTCATCACCTATAATCTATAATCTGACCTTGTGCAAGACATTCCTGGGCTGCTTCCTGCTCTTCAATCCAACAATTCACCGTTATCCAAGTGGCCCCTCCAAAGAGGCCATGGTGCCCAGCCGCCACTCGCCGACTCACATCCATTGAGCATGCATCAAGCTTGGCAAGAAGTGTTCTGGATCCAAAGCATCCTTTGGTTTGCAAGAATCCAGCGTCCTTCAGTCAACCGGTTGACCTAGGCCTGCCCTCTGAACCAACAGCAAACACAATTGTCGTTTCCGAACTATGCGCAGGTTCGGTCGAGTTTTGAACCTGAACTTTGGCCATCCAACCACTTCAATGAAACCTACGGTACAGTACAGCGATGACTCGATGACTCGTTTTGCATCTGATCTCAGCTGTCGAAGCTTGGGTCTCAAAAGGCACCCATCGTGCATGAGCAGCTCATTGTGAGGGCAAAACATCACGCCACATCACGCCACTTGTGATCAACACGGTCATTCTTCAACCCAATCTGCGTATCTCATACGCTGAAGTTCAACGTAAGCGACGTAACCCTATCAATGATCTGATCCACAGGGAAACCACGACTGCCTTCAGGCGTTTCATGCTACAGTGGCCATCCGCAGAAGCCAGGCCTTGACCTCGGATGGATCAGATATGATCAAAGGGGGCCACTGTGGGAGTCAATAGCTTGGTCGTGCGGATTCCAGTCTTCGCGCTGACCTGGAACCTTCTTGACCCGACAGGGGCCCCAGCCCACAAGGAAGTCAATGAGGACTCTGGAGCCTGCCCTCAGCGACCAAGAAGCGGGTGAACACCCATTCTTCGTCAATGAGTGGCCTATGTCCTATGTTCAAAACGTCAACCATTCACCAAACCACGAGGAAATTGGAAATCTGCACAATAGATCCAAACAGTATATGTATGTATATGTTGATACGTCTCTGCGGTTGAGATGTCTCGGACTTAGTTGGATGCTACTGTATGAGCCTATGTGTGTGTGTTGCTTCTTCCATAGGGGATGTTTGTTCGAAGTGCCTCAATTTCAAGTCACCATGCCAGCATCAAATGGGCGCCCGTATGTGAGGTCCCCACGCAGCTGCGCGATGCAGCAGCTGCACAGCATCCTCATCTCCTGGCAAAATGCCTTTAAAATGTTCGCTATTGTTCGCTATGGCTGGATGTGTAACAGGCCATTTTAAATGTGTCATGGCTTTTCAGCACTTTCCCATTTGCGCACTTTTTGTGCGCCCCTCACGCCTTCGTCGTCATGTCCTTCAGCTGGAGGAGGGTTTCCATCATCAGGACCTTTGCCTGAAGTCTGAAGAAAAAAAATCAAAACTGGGGGCCGGTATTTGCTGCGCGTCCCAAAATCGATTGGTTCATCATGGGAATGAGATGGAATAAGCGGGAAACAAACCAAACACAATGGTGCGTGCCACATCCTCAGGTGGTTGTTTTTCCACCTGCTTTGCTACTTGAATGCTACTTGGTACTGATCCAGGTTGAGCACGTCTCACCATAATCATGTACGCAACACTATGCACAACCTACATTAACTCATACGAGAACGCTTGCTGCAGGTATTTATCTTGTTGAGTCTAGTATGAGAGATGTTCTGCTGTTCAAAATTGTAGAGTTTTGCAGTTTTGCTCTGTTCGAAGGCCTTGCTCACAGTGGCCCTTTGCCTTTCCCCCCTCTTCCGACTTCCAAGATTTGTTGTTACATTCCCTGTCCATCCAACGGGCAGGAGAGTCTGAGGTCCCATCTCAGGGATCCGACAGTCTGGGTTGTTTCTGTCTGTCGTCCTGAGTCCTCTTTCGTCCGAAGACCGGCCGTCCTTTCGGGGTTCTCCAGGAGCCGAGCCAAGGGCGGCTTGAAGAAAATGCACGTAGTGGAGGAACTTGGGCCTGGCAGCGCTGATTTATCACAGCTTGGACTATTTGAGCCATGGCTATGTTTGATCTCTCTTGCGTTTCTCACGTACAGAAGCAACTTCTCTGGCCTCAAAATGTCATCTATGTCATTCTTGCTCAATCATAGAATGATAGACCATGGTTGTTTTCCAGCCGCAAACACACACATGCAACAAAGCATGCCATCGTACCATCATGTTCTCCTTGTGTTTGGGCAACATGTTTGGCATGCGAAGCATGATTTTCCCCAATATGTTCCAATTTCTCCAAGGTTCATATGCCACAAATCATCCCCTCTGTGCCCCACCTTTGCAGGAGCTCCTGTGGTGAGAAAGTCCCAGAAAGCCTCAGCAACTGACATGATATCATCATTCATGAGCGGGAGGGAAGTTTTTGGATGAGACTTGCGCCCAACCCCCAACATCGAGTGACGATGACCCTTTGCAACAAGCTTTCTTCAAGTACGACGACGACGACGACGACGACGACGACGAGAACCAGAACCAGAACCAGAACCAGAACCACAACAACAACCACCGCCACCACCACAACCACAACAACCCCAACCGCAACCACAACCGCAACCACAACCACAACCATAACGACCACGACGACGACGAGGACGAGGACGAGGACGAGGACGAGGACGAGGACGACGACGACGACAGCAACAAGAACAAGAAGGTCTCCGTTCACAAATAGTGCCATGATATGCCGGTACACTTTGGCGTCGGAAACTGAGGCGTCCGAGCTCACCCAAGTCGCCACCTGCTTTCGGGCGCTCGAAATCGAGGTTCAACAGTTCGACTCAAATCAACTCAACCGATGAAGATCTATACTTCGGGAAGAACATCTCGATTCCGGCTCTGTTTGCAGAAGTGGACAACATCATATGCCTCCTGAGAGGATTGCAGAGGGGGCAGAGTGTTCTTGCAAGCTGCAAATGTCTTTGCTTACCAGCAAGGGCACGACTACCTGTGTTGAGCCACCCCAGGGTTCCACCCAAGCTGTCCTTCTCATTGTCGCAGGTGAAGCACGGCAGTCGAATACGGTAGGCTGCGTTATAGCATGTTGCAGCCAAAACAGCCAGGTCCCTGTTGGTTCTTCAGCAACAAAGTTTTGGTCAGGACAAACAGATTAAAATAAAGGTTGAAAAGTAATGAATGAGGGCGTTTCCTCGCCAGGGGATGCCAGGGGGAATAACATCATTTCGACCTTTCTAGCCTGGGGCAAATCGTTGAAGTGGATAAAGAGCGAGATGTTTGTCTTTGTTTCAATCTAATATAGATAGTTCCACGGCAGAACAGTGCATCTCGTCTTGGTAGGGTCTAGTGGGTTTCAAGTAGTTCAATGAACGGTTTCGGATTGTGAAAAATCGCACCGGTCGCCATACAACAAAATTTATGAACTCAAAAGTTGGCGAGTCTTCCTGGTTGAAGATCTCGTCCTGTTCTGCTTATAAATATGCATGAGTAAAAACATGTAAATAGATGGATACACGCTCAATTCAATGATGAAACATATTCTCTGCAACCATGCCTAAGGCGTCGTCAAGGTCTGACTGTCCTGACAGAAAAGAAGATGACAACCGCCCTTACGTCTCTGATTGAAGTGGACGCAAAAAATGGCTGGATACACTGATAGATGCACAATCTTTTAGGACCGTTTCTCGTTTTTGAGCGGACAATTATCCCGCAAGAGACCCCGAACCGTGCGTCTAGAAGTCTAAGGTCCAGGAGTGCAGAAGCAGCAGGTCTTAAGATCCAGAGAGAACTAGATGTCTAGAGTCTAGAGGTCTTGAGTTTTTGCAGTCTAAAAAAATCTAAAGGCCGAGATGGAGGTCTCTTGAGATCCGACATATCTCGAGGTCATCGTGGAAGGCTGGAGGCCTGGAGGCCACAAATATGCGAGGACTGAAGACATGTGAAGGCACGCATGAGACCTGCCACAAATTTTGATTTCAATGCTCACAAATGGTTGCGCCTGCCACAAAATCTGCATTTCGAGGTCCACAACGTACTGCGCCTGCCACGAAATCCATACTTCAAGGTCCACAAAGTGCTGCACTTGCCTCGAAATCTGCCATTCAAGGTCCACAAAGTACTGCGCCTGCTGCGAAGTCCACACTTCAAGGTCCACACCGTCCTGTGCCTGCCACGAAATATGCACCTCAAGCCTCAAGGTCCACAAGTGTTGCGCCTGCCAAGAAATCCGCACATCAAGATTCACATTGCGCAGCCCTGCAGAAGCACTTCGCAGCAAGAGGGCTTCCAAAGACAACATCAAAACTTCAAAACGCATCTTTCGCTCCACAATTCCTCCGGCGTGGTGAAGAAGCGTGCCCAAAGGTCACGATTCACTGCACCTGCCACGAAATCAGAGCCCGCTGAAGACCACCACCACGTCAATCCGCGCATCAAAGTAAAGCTGCTCCTGCACCCGCCTCGAAGAGTCGGATCCTCGCGCCTGCCACGAAAAGTGACCACCAAGTCCAAAAATGTGCAAGGCACCACGACGACAGCGCAGTCGAAAAATACACCCGTGCCAGCCCACCAAGTTCTGCGAGCCTGCGCAGTCGAGATGCACTTTGAAGATTTCGAGGTGAATGAATGTACCGTAAATGGCAGCGAATTAGCCGCCCACGGATGTGAGAACCACCGATCGGACACCCGGCCTTAACTATTACCGTGAGAACCTCTAGTGTGACCACACTGTTTGGGGAAAATATGCTGATTGGCGGACCCACAGAATGGTCTTTCAGATAGAGGGGACAAACCCTGTATGAACTGATTACATAATGAATCAGCGCGTGGAGTTCAAAGGAGCGATCGGAGGCAAAGTATGGCAAAGTGACTCTCTTTCTTAAACAATCTTAAACAAGCATTCCACTTGATCACTTGATGCAACATATTGAATGCTTGCATATCAGACCTATAGAGCAAAACCCTGCTGCAATCATCAGGTTGCCTTTTGTGATGTGGAGCGCATGTACAATTCAATCTGGGTGATTGGTTTCATGCTCAGGCCTGGAAAAAAGCTTATCTGTATACTGCATATATGTATATATAAATGAATCAAACAAACACAATGATGAAAAGCTTGCAACTGGCCTTCATTGGTGAGGTGTACCTATGGAGCGCTCAAAGATTGTGGCCGCAAGCCAGCAAGCATGTCTATATGCATGAGCTCGCGGACATGTCAGTTCGCATGATTTTCGTACATTGAGAGGGTTCTTTCGATATGCTGCGATCCTACTCTCGTGGAGCGCAAGAGTGCATGGGCTGAAAGTTCAAGACTGTCCCGTGGAGCGACAGTTTGTATGAAAGTTGCGCGGAACCCTTGATGCCTTCGAGTTGCGGTGCTCTATCTTTCGACCATCTTACTGATCCATCTTAGTCAAACTATCTGAACTTAACAGCCACTTTGAAGGACAGCTTTCAGTCACTGCATGTCAACGCTACAATCTAAACAGCCCTTACTCCACGATGAGGTCGGCGACTGCTAAGAGGTCGGCACCAGAAGTCGGCGGCAAACACGCAGCGCTGAGATGGAGTGTCCACCGAGCTCCTGATGAGGCGTCGGCCAGAATCGTGAGACTCTCTCTACAAAAAGACGTTTTTTATGTACATATATTATCATTGTTATTGTCATTTATTGTATCAGGATTCTATAGTCGCCCCCCCCCCCAAA